AAATTTATCGGCCTTTTCTAGGAAATTCTTGAAAAACCTTATAACCGTGGTTTTGAACTCTATATCCAGTCTTTTGTTCTCCTCCATTTCTTTTGTTTGAGATCTTCCTTTTATCAGCATATTTGCTGCTTATGTAAAAGCAGCTGTGTGGAGCCTGGGCGGGTTTGTAGAATGTGTGGGGTAGGGCCTCAAGGCAGGGCGGGGTCTCAGGATGTCACTAGGCTGGAGTGTGGCAAACAGCGATGGCTGCTGTCAGCCATCCCTGCCTTTCAGTGTTTCCAAGTCCCCGCGTTCCAGCGCAGTAAACAATGATTGCTGCACGCACCTCTGCAAAAAAGTCACCCTCACTTTCAGACCTGATGGCCGACAGACCAGCTACTCTCAGTAGGCATCCGGGTCCCCCGCGTGACCCCAGAAACTGGATTTCAAAGGGATTGGGAGCTTGTTTCCCTTCTGGTTGAAAAAAAGCTGCGTGCCCAGTCGCCCGCCACCAGCCTGATTCACGTGCCCCCGTACCTAGGCTTTTCAGCACTTGTGTTCCTTTCTCTTTCAGCTTTCCTGTGTTTTGGGTGATAGATGTTTTGTCTTTTAGTTGTAATTTTGAAATTGTTGTGCGAGAAGGCAGATTAGTTGCTCACCTACGCTGCCATCTTGGCTTTCTCCCCAATTCATAAGTTTTAAATTGTGTACCATTCTCAGTATCGTGAAGAAATTTCACACCATTCCACTCCATTCCACCTGGAATGTGAATCATCTCTTTGTCCAGTGTATCGTGTTGTATACACTGACTATCTCATTCATCACTTAGTAGCCATCTTGATTATCAGATATTTTGGGAGAGACCACATTCACGTAACATTTATTGCAGTATACTGTTATAATTCTTCTGTTATTATTTGTTGTTGCTAATCTTTTACCATGTCTAATTTATAAATTAAACTTTATCATAGGTATGTGTGTATGGGGGAAAATAGTCTATATAGGTTCCATACTATCTGTGGTTTCAGGCATCAGCTGAGGGTATTGGAAATTCCATGGACAAGGTGGGGGATTACTGTATTAATATTCTATTTTGGTCAGTATACGGGCATAGCATGAATTGATAATTGAATCAGTGGATGAATCCATAGGCACTTCAACAGGGGTTCTCTAGGAAGCTTAGGGCAAGAAAATGTGCACTTATATATGGCCAGGAGTTGGGAGTTCTGTGTGTGTTATTTTTGCAGAGCTACAGATTTAGGCAGAATTAGAAGTTTGTGTGAATTCCTAAGACATAGATTTCCAAGCAGGTCATTACAAGAAAGAGAGGTGCAAAGGGTTTTTTAGGCAAAGTTCCCAATAGCCAGATGTAGGAGACTTGAGGTCCTTGGAACCTTAAGCCCTAAGGAAGTTGTGTTGAGACACTGTCAGATGCAGGGCTCACTTGAAATCCAGATGCCTAGCCAAAACCGGTTTGGCTCAATGGATAGAGCGTCAGCTTGGGAACTGAAAGGTCCCGGGTTCGATTCCGGTCAGGGGCATGTACCTTGGTTGCGGGCATATCCCCAGTACGGGGTGTGCAAGAGGCAGCTGATTGATGACTCTCTCTCATCGATGTTTCTAACATCTCTCTCCCTTCCTCTCTGTACAAAATCAATAAAATATATTTTTTTAAAAAGAAAGAAAGAAAGAAATCCAGATGCCTAGAATTCTGGGGCTCACCTTCTATACATGCTTATTCCCAGCCTTTCTGTTTCCTCTACTGGGAGTTGGCTGTACCCACTGGGTATTTGAAGGGAAGGAACCATGATAAGATATAATAACTGATCCTAGAAATAGCAGCTAATGTTTATTGAGGACTCACTGTGTGCTATGGTCTCACTTAATCTATAGCAGCCATGCCATATAGGAATGATTCTGAGCCCCTCTTTACAGATAAAGAAAGTAGAGCTCAGTGAAGTGATTACATTTGCCCAGAATCCCATGATTATTAAGTGGGAGAGAAAGGGCCTAAGCTATGCCTCTGCCTTTTCTTTTTTTATCTTCACCCAAGGATATTTTTTCCATTGATTTATTTTTAAAGAGGGAGTGGAGGAGAGGGAGGGAGGAAAGAGAAAGAGAAATATTGATGTGAGAGAGACACATTGATTGGCTGATTTCTGTTTGCACCACAATTGGGGCCAGGGATCGAGCCTGCAACTGAGGTACGAGCACTTGACCAGGAATTAAACCTCTGACCTTTTGATCCGCAGGCAACAATCTAACCACTGAGACAAACCAGCAAGGGCTGCCTTTTCTTTTTCATGACCCACCCAACTAGAGTGCTAGCTCTGTTGGTTAGAGCCCACTTTTTGCCCCTTTCCAGGACCTTACCAGTAGCCCAATAGCTCATCTCAGAACAACCTTGTTAGATATTTGCAAATTGTTGCCTTGGCTACAGGTATTAGCTCAATTGCTCAAGAGTGAGGGCAGAGTTGGCCTCAGTCCTTGATTATTATCGCTTTACTCAGGTATTGGTATTCTTGGTGTGTGTGTGTGTCCCCTGCACCCCCTCCTTTTTTATTTTTTTTTTTTTGCTCTGTCAGCATTACACTCCATCCTCTATTCTTTTGAGCTAGTCATGGAAGGGCTAACAGAGTTTCCTTTTTTTTTTTCTTTTCTTTTTTTTTAATATATATTTTATTGATTTTTTTACAGAGAGGAAGGGAGAGAGATAGAGAGCTAGAAACATTGATGAGAGAGAAACATTGACCAGCTGCCTCTTGCACACCCCTCACCGGAGATGTACCCACAACCAATGTACGTGCCCTTGACCGGAAACAAACCTGGGACCTTTCAGTCTGCAGACCGACGCTCTACCGCTGAGTCAAACTGGTTTCGGCCTTTTTTTTTTCTTTAATTTTATTTTTTCAGAGAGGAAGGGAGAGGGAGAGAGAGAGAGAAACATCAATGATGAGAGAACCATTGATGGGGCTGCCTCTTGCACGCCTCCCACTGGAAACCAAACCTGCAACCTGGGCATGTGACTGACCAGGAATTGAACTGAAACCTCCTGGTTCATATCAATGCTCAACCATTAAGCTACACTTGCTGGACAAGGATGATAGACCTGAAACAGTTCCTCCCAAAGCTTCTTTTTATAGCCAGGCTGGGGCCTTATCCTTAGGGAGCTCTCTTCTGGGTCAAGAGGGGAAACCTGGCTCATCTCCACAGACACACTCAGCCTTCAGTTGGGAGGAAACATCACTAGATCACTATGGCATGGAGTAGCCAGGAGAGACTTTTCAGAGGAAGGTAGGTTTTGGAAGTTATAAAAGACATAGAATTTGAATAGGAGGAAAGAGACTGTTATAGAGTAAATCCTTGAATCTTAGCTTGACTGGAAGCTTAGATGATGTGATCTGGAGAAAGGCCCATCGAAGATGGGGATATCCTGATTAAGTCTTTATCTTGAGTGATAAGAGGTAAGGAGTGTCCTGGAAATGATGATGATGTTGGGGTAGAAGTTTTTGAACTTTAGTATATTGGTGCTGGTTACCATTGTAACCACCTGGTCAGGATCATAATATCCTGGTATGCTTTAGGAAGATAATCTGGGTTTATGGGACAGGTTGGAGGGGGGAAATGTAGAGGCCGAACTAGTTAAACAATAGTGAGCATTTATTAAATACTAGAGGCCTGGTGCATGGATTCATGTATCAGTGGGGTCCCTCAGCCTGGCCTGCAGGGATTGGGCCGAAACCAGCTCTCCAATATCCCCCAAGGGGTCCCAGATTGCGAGAGGGTACAGGCCAGGCCGAGGGACCCCACCAGTACATGAAGCCATGCATTAGGCATATAAGATCTTTGGTTAATCTCTTCCCACCCTCCCCCTTCCTCCCTTCCCTCTCAGATTCATCAGTTGTTCCATGTTTCCATGCCTGTGGTTTCCACTCCTGCATTAAGCATCTGTTCCCTGGCAGTCAGTGCATGTCATAGCTGCTGGTTATACAGTCACTTGGGCTTTTATATATATAGATGTTCTGTATCCCAGACCACTTTCCATTCTTTATTAATTCATTGAGTCTCAACACTGTGAATTGGGTACTGTAATTGTCTCCAAAATCAGTGTTAGTGAGGTTTAAGGTGACATTCCCAAGGTCTAGCGAGTAAGTTGGGGGGTTTATACTATATGATTCTAGACTCCATGCTTTTAATCACTGTCCTCTCTTTTTTTTTAATATTTTTTTTATTGACTATAGAGAGAGAAATAGAGAGGGATAGAGCGATAGAAACATCAGTGATGAAAGAGAATTATAGATCGGCTGCCCACTGGATATAAAGCCTCCAACCCAGGCATGTGCCCTGACCAGGAACCATGACTTTTTGCTTCATGGGTCAAAGCTCAACCACTGAACCACATTGGCCAGGCAATCACTGTCCTCTTAATTAGGAAAAAGACTGTTTTGATAGGGAAAGTGGGTGGAAGCCCTGAAGATAAAGAGTAAGAAGAGTAGCCCTAGCCATTTTGGCTCAGTAGATAGAGTATCCACTCATAGACTGAAGGGTGCTGGATTCCATTCTGGTCAAGGGCACATAGTTGGATTTTAGGTTCAATCTCCAACCCCAGTTAGGACACATATGGAAGGCAACCAATTGATGTGTTCCTCTCACATTGATGTTTCTCTCTTTGTATCTCTCCCCTCTTCCTTCTATTCTCTAAAAGCAATAGAAAAATATCCTCAGGTGAGGATTAACAACAACAAAAAAGAGGAGGCCTTGGAGATAGGAAATTCAGATCAAATTCTAGAGTAGCGAATTTGATTGGGAGCTACAGCAGGTTTTTTTTAGAGTAGGAGTGATGGAACCAGGAAAAATAACTCTGGAAGCAGGGTGCATGTGTTTGATCTCGCTTATATAAAGATCATGGTTGGGGTCATGAAAGAAGGGAGTAGAGATTGGAGCTGAGGGAGCAGGCTATAGGTCCCTCTCCTGGGTTTATAGGAGTTCACTCCCCTAAAATTCTCTCATCTCCTTTGCAGCCATCGTCAGCCAGTGGCAGCAGGAGTCCAAAGAGAAGGTAGTGTCTCTCCTGCTGTCCCATCTGCCCCTGCTTCAGCCACGCAACACGGAGGCCAAGTCGGAGTACATGAGGCTGCTGCAGAAAGTGCTGGCCTACTCGATCGAGAGCAATGCCTTCATCGAGGAGAGTCGCCAGCTGCTCTCTTATGCCCTCATCCACCCGGCCACCACACTGGAGGACCGCAACTCACTGGCCCTCTGGCTGAGCCACCTGGAAGAGCGGCTGTCTAGTGGCTTCCGCACCCGACCGGAACCCACTTACCACTCTCGCCAGAGCTCAGATGAGTGGGGGGGGCCTGCAGAGCTGAGCCCCAGGGAGGCAGGGTCAGGCTGGCAGGACAAGCCACCCCGGGAAAATGGACACGTTCCTTTCCACTCACCCAGCTCTGTGCCGCCAGTCATCAACAGTATTGGGAGCAACGCAAATGCAGGTGATGGGGTAGTGAGTCCCAGGAGATCATGCCTACTTGAAAAGGGACAGACTGGGCTAACTCTTTACTTGCTCTGTGGCCCTGGGAAAGTCACATAACCTCTCTGGGCCTCACCTTATGAGGGAATGCAGAGGTGGTGAACTGGCATTCCCAGGGCCATATCTCACCTACACATATGTTTCGTTTGTTGAGCCCAGACTCAACACAACTTTGGTTTTATTTGTTGTGTTTTTAAATAAATTTGGTAATATAAGAAGTCAGGAATTTTTCCCTAAAAATTTAGCTTCTCTTGAAAAAAGTCAAAAGATCTGGCAGCTCAAGGTCTGTATTTCTGGTGGCAACAGTAAGATGGAATTTAACACTGGTCATCCCTTTTACACCCTACACATGTGCCCCAGTCAGCCTCTGCCTCCTCCACTATCCCTCTTTGGTAATATCTGACACCTGTCTGACCTCTGAAGGCATTAAATTAATGACATAATCTGAGGTCCCTTCTAGTTCACACATCTGGATTTTTGTATCAGGCCTCAGATTAATATGTTGTGTCTAAGAAATGTGTTTCCATGCCTGTTCATTTAAGCTGTAACTCATGCTGCTGTGCATTAGTAATAGTAAGTAAAATTGTTGAGCATTGCCTATACTTGATATTTTCACACATGAACTCATTTCATCCTCTTTACAATCATATTATCATCACCATTCTACAGATGAGGACACAGACTCAGAAGGTAAAATCATGTTTTCAAGTTCACACATAGAACAAGTGGTGTAACTGGCCAAAGTTCAGACCCAGGCATTCTGCCACCAGAGCCTGCCTCTGATCATTGCACTGGCCTCCAACTAAATGGTTTTGAAAGGGCTCTCTTATTAAGCACCCTGAAGACGTGTGAGCAGAAGGAACAGGTGTTCCAATGAGTTTTTCAAATGAACAGGATATGAGAGTCATATTTTTAAGGATGGGTAAAGTAACATGACCTGACTCAAAGCAAGAGGTTTCTAAGATCCTCATTGTGGTGGGCATTGGTTAAAGCGGGCCAGGAAAGAGTGGCAGTGACATGTCATCCATGCCAGTAAATGGGGTGAATCCTGTGTCTCTCGTGTCCAGCTGTATGGCACCTAACAGTTACCCCCAGAGCCCCTTTCTTCCCCTCTTAAATATGTATGTCCTGGTAGTCTCCCTCCCTCCCAGATGCTAGTGAGAATCATGGAAGATAAAGGGGAGGGATAGGGCCATTTCCAGGAAATATAACAAACCAAGATATTTTCCAATCTCAGAGTATGACAATTTCTGGTTCTAGATTGGGAGGATATATTAATAATGATAATTCTAGTTAAAATATATTAACTGTGTAGTCTTTGCCAAAAGCTGTTCTGAGAACTTTATACCTATACATTCATTGGTTGTCACAGGAAAGTCGTTTGTCCAAGGTTATACAGCCAGAATTTATTATTATTTTGGTGGTGGTGGTGGTGGTGGTGTTAATCCTTACCTGAGGATATTCTCCATTGATTTTCAGAGAGTGGAAAGGAGAAGGAGAGTCAGAGAGAGAGAAACATCCATGTGAGAGAGACACATCAATTGGTCCCCTCTGCCCAAATGGATCCTGCAACGAAGATACATACCCTTGATCAGAATCTAACCTGGGATCCTTCAGTCCACCCAAACCAGCCATGGTGTAGCCAAAATTTAAGTCTAAACAGATTGGCTCCATAGCTCATACTTTTTTAAAAAAAAAAAAAAAAACTACATATATTTTTATTGATTTCAGAGAGGAAGGGAAAGGGAGAGATAGAAACAACAATGATGAAGTATCATTGATTGGCTGCACATTTCCCACTGGGGATTGAATCTGGGACCCTTCAATCCACAGGCCAATGCTATATCCACTAAGCCAAACCAGCTAGGGCCATAGCTCATGCTCTTTTTTTAATATGTTTTACTGATTTTTTACGGAGAGGAATAGAGAGTCAGAAATATTGATGAGAGAGAAACATCTGTCAGCTGCCTCCTGCACACCCCCTACTGGGGATGTTCCCACAACCAATGTACATGCCCTTGACCAGAATCGAACCTGGAACCCTTTTGGTCTCAGGCCGATGCTCTATCCACTGAACCAAACTGGTTAGAGCCATAGTTTATACTCTTTTTAAAATATATATATATATTATTCATTTTTTACAGGGAAGAGAGAGAGAGAGTTAGAAACATCGATGAGAGAGAATCATCGATCAGCTGCCTCTTGCACACCCCCTACTGGGAATGTGCCTGCAAACAAGGTACGTGCCCTTGACGGGAATCGAACCTGGGATCTATCAGTCTGCAGGCCGACACTCTGTCCACTGAGCCAAACCGGTTTTGGCAACCGGTTCATACTCTTAACTACTGTGCTATAATGTCTTCACCTAAAAGTGATTTCCTAAAGATCCTCAGACCTCATCAGGAGAGGGTGCCCATACATTTCTTCTCCCCATGATGGGGACTGCAGCTACTGCAGAACCAAGCTGAAACAATATTGGATGGGGTTTGAGCCAGAAAAGAGAAAGGAATTTGGCATTCCAAATTAAGAGTACAGCATAAATTTGAAGGCATGGGGGTGGCAAGTTGGAGAAGACAGTATGAAGACAGGTCTGGCAGGGCTTGAGAGGTGCAAGGATTTAAATAAGTAATGTCAATAAACATTCATGTTTACCATGTACATGCCAAGGGCTTCATACAGAAATGGAGGTGAAGGGCAAATGAAATGACTTGCCTGGGATCATGCAGTTAACAGTTGGCCAAGCCAGGATTAAACTCAGGTCTGCCTTGACTCCCAAATCTCAGCATGTTAAGGCCACATTGAGGGACAGGAGAGCCTTGAAGGACAGGATGAAACTTCAAGCAGTTGCAGGAAACCATTTTAATATTTTTGAGTGGGGAGCAAGGATTGGCCTATAAGGGCAGGCACAGTAGGCTTGGGGTGCTGTCAAGGACAGACCAGGGTTTTTTGGAGAGAGTGAGGCCCTGGAACTCTGGCCAGCATTCCTGTTTTTATAGTTTTCATGCTGTGGTCAGCCTCCACCCTATTATAGGGCCAAGCAGGGCTCCTCAGAAACTGCACAGTCATTCTAATCAGATAATTTCCTGCCCTCTCAGTCTTCCCTGCCTCCTTTTTAGCTAAGAAGGGAGGAAGGAAGAGGCCAAAGGGATCAAAACAGATGTGAAATAGCCTATATTGAGGGTTCCCAGGCCCTTAATATATGTTTTCTTCTGGGAGTTCAGAGGCTTGGAAGGAGCCCTGAGCAGAGGACTTTAGAGGTTATAGGCAGGCGGAGAGCTGGCTTAGGGAGTGGGTCAGTACACTGCCCTCTGCCTCAGGTGACTTCCTTGCTAGGAGCATAGGTACTGTCACAGAAGGGGGAAGGTGCTTTGGGGCTTGTACCAGGCTGATCCTCCTTTCTGGGCTGGTGTCAGTGGAGTGCTGGTAGGAATTCCAGCCTTTCCATCTTATGCCTTTGCCGCCCAGCTCTGGAAACTGAAGCAAAGGGCTTCCGTATTCTCACCTACCTAGGGTGAGACATTTGGCTTTGTTTCCTTTCCTTTTAATTGTATTTAGGATACTCCAGATTCCCTGTGTCAAGCTCAGAGGCCATGTTACCACCCTTAGGATCATGGGTGCCCTCCTTTTGGCCTTCAGGAAACTTTGAAGGCTCTGTATATTGTGCCCTTGCTCCTGATCCTGGGGTTGCATAAGATTGGACAGGGTTGCCATCCCATACAAGCCCAGAGTCCAGTGCTAGAGAGGCAGGCTAGTGGAGTGGGCATAAGTGCAGGGCTTGAGGCAGGAGCAGCTCAGGGTTCCAAAAAATACAGAGGACCTCAGCCTATGAACCAGGAGGTCATGGTTTGATTCCCAATCAGTGCACATGCCCAGATTGTGGGCTTGATCCCTAGTGGGTAGCCAGTCAATGATTCTCTCTCATTGATGTTTCTCTCTCTTCCTCTCTGAAATCAATAATATATATATATTGGGGGAAGAGGGGAATACAGAGGAAGGACTCCCAGAAAAAGGAATTCAGAGGAAGGAGTGAAGGTTGAAGTGGCTGGCAAATAAGGGTGGAAAAGTGGTGAGCTAGACAAAGGGGATAGCATGTGTAAATGTCTGGAAGCTGTGGGAATCTACCCTATCTTGAAAATGGTAAAAAGTCGTCGGATTCCTTTTCCCACCTCAAAAATGGAATGGATGGATGGAGGGTTTGCAACATCATTGTAAGAGGGCCTGGATTCACTGTGGTTTGGGCATAGTCCAAGAAAAATCTGTGGGAGCTGGGGAAGCCCAAGGATAGGGCTGTTGAGCATGTAGTTTATATACTTCATTCATTTAATTTACAAGTACTTCTGAAGATACTCCTCTGCTCTAGGCCCCATTGTAATTACTGAGTATGCAATGCTATCTAGGACAGGATAGATCCCTGCTATCACAGGTTATTGCATCAGGGGCATATAGTTAATAAGCAAATAAATAACTAGATAAGATCATTTCAGGTTGTGATAGGTAGTGTAAGAAAGATAAGACAGTAATATGATAGAGTAACCAGAATTGGTGGGGACAACTACTTCATATTGGGGGTTCAGAGAAGGCTTTAGAAGAGATGATACTGCCAAGATGAGACCTGAGGGAAGATAAGAAGAAAGAGCAAAAGTAAAAGTATTGAGATTGGAACAAGTTTGAATGTTTTAGGAACAAATGGGATGAGAGGCAAAGGCTAGAAATATTTGATCCAAAGGGTGAGTAGGAGATAAGAGATCAGAGATGAGAAGGCCTTGTAGTGGTGTGTGTGGAAGAGTTTAAATTTTATTTTCAACATGAAGGGAAGCCATCGGAATTAGGAACTGACTTGGTCAGATTTGTATTTTTAGAAGGACCATTGTGCTACTGTGAGGTGAATAGGAGGCAAGAAACCAGTCAGGATGCCTTAGCCAGTTTGCTTAGTGGTTAGAGCATTGGCCTGCAGACTGAAAGGCACATGCCTGGGTTGCAGGCTTAATCCTCAGTAGGGGTCGTGCAGGAGGCATCCCATCAATGATTCTCTCACATCATTGATGTTTCTTTTTTTCTTTTCTCTTTTTTATTGATTTCAAAGAGGAAGGGAGAGGGAGAGAATTGAGAGAGAATCATTAATCAGCTGCCTCCTGCATGTCCCCCACTGGAGATGGAGCCCAAAACCCGGGCATGTGCCCTTGACTGGAATTGAACCTGGGACCCTTCAGTCTGCAGGCTGATGCTCTAGATACTGAGCAAAACCAGCTAGGGCTCATCATTGATGTTTCTCTCTCTCTCTCCCTTCCTCTCTGAAATCTATCAAGTAATATATATATAATTTTTATTTTTATTTATTTATTTATTTTTTTTACAGAGAGGAAGGGAGAGTTAGAAACATCGATTGGAGAGAAACATCGACCAACTGTCTCCTGCACCCCCCCCACTGGGGATGTGCCTGCTACCAATGCACATGCCCTTGACCGGAATCGAACCCTGGACCCCTCAGTCCGCAGACCGATGCTCCACCACTGAGCCAAACCGGTTTCGGCAAGAAATATAAGGGAAAGAAACCAGTGAGGAGACTCTGGCAGTAATTCTAGTTAGGGATGTCATTGACTGAGACCAGGGTGCCAACAGAGGAAGTGAAGTTCAAAGAAGTAGCTCATAGCTTGCTGATTGGTTAGTTATGAAGGGTGAGGGGATGAGCAGTATCTGATAGGCAGTTCCCTGCAGATGCCAGGGCCCCTTTTCCTTATTGGAGTCTGGGGCTAAGCTGCCATCCATGGCACTGACCAGGGTGGCATGGTCTACTGTGGTCAGATCCCCAAGCCTGACCTTTTCCCTCTCTTTCTTTCTGGCCAGGTCTCCCCTGCCAAATCCACCCCAGCCCTCTGAAGCGCTCCATGTCACTCATTCCCACGAGCCCCCAGGCCCCTGGTGAGTGGCCAAGTCCAGAGGAGCTCGGGGCTCGGGCTGCTTTCACCACGCCCGACCACGCACCCCTCTCGCCCCAGAGCAGCGTGGCCTCCTCTGGCAGTGAGCAGACGGAGGAGCAGGGCTCCAGCCGGAACACTTTCCAGGAGGATGGCAGTGGCATGAAAGGTATGACGGGGAGGGCAGTGCTAGGACCCTCCAAAGGCTTCTGCAGAGCTTAATGGACAGAAAGGAGCTTGTAGCTGCCACCCTGCCTATCCTGTTCCCCCAACCTTCAACTTCCCCTTCCAGAGAAGGGAAAAGTCCAAGGGGAGTAGAAGTCCCTGCCCTTCGGGTGCAGACTGATCTGAGAGACGCCCACAAACCCTGGTCTGATGGGGGAGAAGCCCCTTCCCTCAGACACCCCAATCTGATAAGAAAGCCAGGACACGAAGGTAACTGATGAAACAGACTCCTGACCTTATGCCCTCCCTCCTTTTCCAACAGATGTGCCCTCATGGCTCAAGAGCCTCCGCTTGCACAAGTACGCAGCCCTTTTCTCACAGATGAGCTACGAGGAGATGATGACACTGACTGAACAGCATCTGGAGTCTCAGGTAAAGCTCGGGGGACCGTCAGGGTAGAGTTGGGGTACTATTTTGCCACTACCCTTGTGACCTGAGCCTCCTCCAGCTCTTTGAGCTTTGTTGGAGCACCCTTAGTAGATTGACCTCCCATTTCCAGCTTCCTGTCCCCTTCTGTCCTACCACAGAATGTCACCAAAGGTGCCCGCCACAAGATAGCCCTGAGCATCCAAAAGCTGCGTGAGAGGCAGAGCGTCCTCAAGTCCCTGGAAAAGGTGAGGACTGGTATTCCCCATCTCCAAGGTTAACCTGCCGCCCAGGGGTACCAGTAGACAGAAGGCCCTGGCTACCCATGTGGCCTCTCCTCAGGATCTCTCTAGCCCTCGGGTCTGATCTGCAGTGGCCTCAGCCTTAGAGTGTCGGACTTTGGGGACCAAGTAGAAGTTGGATGACAGGGCTCACTTGCCTGTGGCTAAGAGGCTCCCCTCCCGGTGTTTCCTGGTGTGTGTCCCCAGATTGCCTGTTAACAACCTGTGCGCTCCTTTCATTCCCATTTCTGACTGGTCTTTCTGGTGGAGCAGAGCGTCTCCCTGGGTGCACGATCTCTCCATTTGGTTTGTTTCTCATCTCCTCACTGCGTCCATATCTGCCTCAATTGCATTTCTTTTATCCTTTCCTTGCCACTTGCCTTCTGGTTTTACCCCCTCAGTTCACAGTCCCAATTTCTACATCCGAATCTAGTTCCACCTTTGCTGGGACCCAGTGGCCCCAGGATTAGACCACCTTCTCCTGAGCTCCCTGGGACTCCACCTTGAAGGGGGGAAAGGAAATGTGTGGTACAAATGTGTACATATGTATGTGGGCTTGTGGTACTTTTACTTTCCTTCTCTATGTCCTGGAACCCAGGGTCCTGTCATGCACTCTCTAAGCCCTGTCTAACCACAATTGTGTAGTCCCTCTACATAGATGTGGGGTCGGCATGTGACCCCAGCCATGCCCTCCCATGCAGGACGTGCTGGAAGGAGGAAACCTGCGAAACGCTCTGCAGGAGCTGCAGCAGGTTATCGTCACCCCGATCAAGGCCTACAGTGTTCTCCAGGCCACTGTGGCCCCCACCTCCACCACCTCCACCTCCACTGCCAGGGATGCGGGCCAGGGGGAGCCACTGCTGCCAGGTGCTGAGACTCCCCTGGCTCATCCCAGCACAGACAAGGGCACTGAGGCCAAGGATCCTCCAGCTGCAGAGAGCTACCCCCCTCCACCAGCTCCAGTTCCCACTGATGGCAGCGAGCCAGCCCCGGCTCCCGTTGCTGACGGAGACATTCCCAGCCAGTTTACACGGGTGATGGGCAAAGGTGAGACCATCCAGGGCCCAGCAGGAAGTTCTGAGGCAGAGAGCCAAGTGAACCTAGGCATTAGGGGTCAAATTCAAGTTAAATAGTGGAAGCAGAACTTTTTTAAGAACCCTGGGAACTAAACACCATAGTGACTTGAGACCGAGGTGGCAATGACCCTGCCCTCAGGTGTGTCCTGGCTGGTGGTAGGAGACAATGCTCACACTCAGAGCATCTCGCCTGAGAAGGAGAGGACAGTATGTCAGTGGAAACCACATACAGTACAGAGTGAACAAATGAGAATTGGTTAGTTCTCTCAGAGGTGACTGAAATCCACAAATGAGTATGATAGAGCTCTCAGAGGGGAGCATGACCTAGCAGACTCTACACTTGGGTCTAGATTCCTTTATCTGTGTGACCTGGGGCACACTCAACCTTTCTGAGCCTCAAGGTTCCTCATGCTAAAAATGTCGATTGATGAGATTCTTGAAAGAGGTAAAAGGTATCATTAACCTCATACCTGCCTTATGCCAGGCACTATGCTGGGTGCTTTATGTATCTTCATAAGCCAGGTATCATAGTCCTCACCCAGCCTGTTCCCTGTCCCTCTCTCTGTGGCAGAAGGCATGCTGGGGTCTAACCTCCTACCCTTTCCCATGTCCCCAGTGTGCACCCAGCTGCTGGTGTCGCGGCCAGATGAGGAGAACATCACCGGTTACCTCCAGCTCATCGAGAAGTGCCTGACTCACGAGGTGAGACCTGCCCTACAACCCCATCACTCAGAGCCAACATTCCTTCTATGGCCAACTGGCACTACCTGGCTGGCTCCTGCCAACCTCGCCAGCCCTCATCTCACCACCTACTGGCCCCTCAGTTCCCAGTTCAAACATCTGTACCTCAGGGACACCTTTACTGGCCTTCACTCATACTAGATCAAGTTTCTTGTGCCTTTTGTGTTTCTCCCTCACAGTACTCATCACTCATCTCCCCAACTACACAGTAAGCTTCATGTGCACGGGTAACCTCTGCGTCCCAGTATTGCCTGGCACAGAGCAGGCAGTAGATAAATATTTGAGCAAATGAACAGAAGGCAGATCTGAAAGAAACACCCCCTCCCTTCTTAACTTCCCTAATTGTATGTAGGCTTTCACGGAGACACAGAAGAAACGGCTGCTGTCCTGGAAACAGCAAGTGCTAAAGCTCCTCCGAACCTTCCCGCGCAAAGCCGCACTAGAGATGCAGAACTACCGGCAGCAGAAAGGGTAGGCAGGCAGCCGGGCATGCATGTTCCCTGGGCCCTTGCTGGTGGACAGCTAGTGCTAAGAGGGTGATTGCATTCTGGGCTGGGAATCCAATGCACTGGGTGACTTGTATACATCACCCAGTGTAGACTTTTCCAGAAGAAAATCAGATGTCCTTATTGCTAAATAGGGTGCTAAGCTGCAAAACCAGATCTTGTCCTGATAGCAGACCCCTCCCTTGCCTGTCCCTGTTCTCTTCATCTTGTGTGCAGAGGGTTCTGAAGTCCCTTCTCACTCCCAAACAAATAACAGGAATATCACACATGCGTATTAACGTTAGGAGAACTGCTTTGCTTGGAGATGAGAAACATTTCCTGTCTCTATCCTGGGGAAACCCCTTGGTCAGAATGTGTGGTGCAGGAACTTGGACAGGGACTCTTTGCTCAGAACAGGTCTGTGCTGTGTCCTACCCATTGGGATTGTACGGGGACGTGAGGAGGGGTGGAGAGATGGGCCCCATCCACCTAAACTGACACCCTGCCTTCTGCTCTCTCACAGCTGGGCGTTTGGCTCCAACTCACTCCCCATAGCTGGCTCTGTGGGGATGGGGGTGGCCCGGCGGACCCAGCGGCAGTTCCCAATGCCTCCCCGGGCCCTTCCACCCGGCAGAATGGGCCTTCTAAGCCCCTCGGGCATTGGGGGCATTTCCCCCAGACACGCCCTCACCAGCCCCAACCTTGGGGGCCAGGGCCGACAGGTGAGCGGCTAGATATAGAGGGCCTGGTGCTTCTGGGGTTGAGGTGGGTGGTGGTGTCTGGGATGTGTGTGTCTGTATCTTTGATCTGGGCCTGGATTAGAGGGGAGGGGCTCCTTTGCCAGTTCCACTACTCCTGGGCCTGGTCTCCACCACTCACCCACTTTACCTTTTCCCATGCCCTTTGCAGAACTTATGGTTTGCCAACCCTGGAGGCAGCAACAGCATGCCCAGCCAGAGCCGTAGCTCTGTGCAGCGCACACATTCGCTCCCAGTCCACTCCTCGCCGCAGGCCATTCTCATGTTCCCTCCAGGTAAAGTGCCCTAGCCCTTGGGATTCTGCCTCCACAACACCCTTCGCTGGCCTTTATCTTCTCTCCTGTTTCTTTTACACTGGGGACTTCTCCCGATCCTTCCAGCCTCTTGTGGGTTTTCTTGTACTCTTCTCTGCCCCCATTTCAATTTTCTCTCTCAGATCTTTTCTTCCTTTCTCTCTTGGTTTTAAATACGCATTTCATCCTTGTGCAGGAGTCATACTAATCTTCTCTGTATCATTCCAATTTTATTACATGTGCTACCAAAGCCAGAATTGCCTTCCTTTCTCTTTCTCCTCTCACCCCTTACTTCCACTCCCCCATGTCCACATCTCTCCTTCCCTATGTCATAATTTTGGTATTCATGTCGGTCTCTGTCACCATCTTTTTTTTTTTTTTAAATATATTTTATTGATTTTTTAGAGAGGAAGAGAGAGGGATAGAGAGTGAGAAACATCGATGTGCCCGCAACCAAGGTACATGCGCCTGACCAGAATCAAACCCGGGACCCTTCAGTCTGCAGGCCGACGCTCTATCCACTGAGCCAAACCGGTTTCGGCTGTCACCATCTTTTTAGAGGATCATTAAGTACTCAGTTTGGAAGGGGTTGAGGGGATGAGAGTCAAACCAATGAGGTTTCTTTGGAAGTGTCTATTAACCCATTGGCATTCTTTCAGAAGCCAGATAACCAGGCCAGAACCATTTAGCTCTTGGATCAGATTTTTCTTGGAAATGGAGGGACTGTTTTTCCTGTGCTCACAGACCAGCCCAGAGATAGGAGATCAGAATGAGGGTAAAGAGGACAGAAGAGTAGAGGATTGTTAGCCCAACCTTGCTCAACGAGTGAGGATGACTCCTCCTGTGTCAAGCCCGTTGCTGGGCACCAAGGCTGCTGAGGCAGATAAGGCTACTCTGGAATGGCTGCTGGAGAGACCTTAGATATGCAGGTGACTCTAAACTCTTCCTGTCATAAACTGCCAAATCAGTAGGGATTCTTAATTTATAAGATAATGTGGACTGCCATCTGTTGAAGGCAAGAGACCCTGTCAGTTGTGTTCCATCCTAGCACAGGGCCTAGCACCTGTAAATGATGTTATAAGACTGGATGAACTGCAGGAACAACAACAAAAAAGAACAATTCTTTTTACTGGTATGCTATATGCTGGGCTTTTGTCAGACAGTTTTATTGCACTGTTTAACCAAACCCTCCCAACTGCAAGTGAGGGCACTGATTTCACTCCTAACTGATCAGTCACAAATCTGAGATACAAAGAGACAACTTGCCCAAGGGAAGAGATAACTCCAAAGGGAAGACAATTAGGTGGTCTGACATGGCCTGAGCTCAGGGTTCAGAGAGGACATGATGAAAGGTGAAGCTGGAGGTGGGAGCAGGGACTTTTAAACCCCGGTAAAAAGCTCAGATGTAAGGAGCCAGGAAGGGTTTTAAGTGGTGTGGGGTGGATCTTAGTTATCCCAGGGAGGGGCTGTCTCCCAGACTCCAAAAAGAGGTGGTTTGAGGATAAGCCCTGAGGCTGCTGCCCTGGTTTGCCCCATTTGTGTGGCTTGCCCAGATCAAATCCATCCCAGAGGAGAAAGTCCAAGAAAGGATGGGAGGAGTTCTAATTAAGCTTTTGAATGAAGTATAGAGCAGGTAATCAGTCAGGGAGCACAGAGGCTGCCCAGCACCCACAGCAGATAGACTTGCCCAAGAAGACAACGTATAGTATGTGTCCAAAATAGTCCAGCCTTGTGGCCTCCAGAAAGCTCCACATTCCTCTGTCTGCAGTCAGGCTTTCTGTTTGTTGGCCAAGCCTCTGCCCTTGCCACCGCTACCTGCATTGCGATTACACCCAGGCCTATCTCTGTCCTTCATCTCTGCCTAATTACATCTTCCATCCTAGTGTGCGCCTGTCTCTTGTGCTCTCTCTTCCCCCCTCCCTCCTTTCCCCCTTGTCTCTCCCAATGCCAGCCTATCCTGTCCTTTGTCTTCCAGCTTTACTCTCCATCTAAGCCAGTCCTTACCACCTCCACTCTCCTCTGTCCCATACAGACTGTCCGGTCCCTGGGCCTGACCTGGAGATCAACCCCACTCTGGAGTCTCTGTGTCTGAGCATGACAGAACACGCCTTGGGTGGTGAGCATTTCCTCTTTCCCTGACCCAGCTTCCACCTACCCAGCAGCGTCTCCACCTCTGAACTGAGCAACTCATAGTCATCCTTGAGGGGGCCCCAGGGGAGGCTGTACTTCAGGGCGGACCTGACTGGGATGGCAAGCTACCTGAACATCTTTTCTCAAGCTTCCCACCAGCTCCTGATCTTCCTCCCTTCCTCCCTTTCTTACCACAGATGGGACAGACAAAACCTCCACCATCTGACGGGACCCACAGCCCAGCGCACCCATAGGCTCCCTGGGCGGCGGGAGGGAGCCAACCCCAACGGGCTTCTCTGCGACAGCGAGAGGGTGGGCTGGCTCAGCTATACATTCTAATATTTTTCTACTCTCTCATCCTTTTAACTTTGGTTTAACATTGGCACATGCCTTGCTCACTCTTGGGCCCATTGAGGGATCTCTGCTGAGGCCCGGGGAGGTAGGGGTAGCCAGAATAAAGGGTGCAGGAACTTGCCTGCCCCCTTTCCTTCCTTATATCCATCTGGCCCCATCCCACCCGTTTCCTCCAGAATGTTCACCTCCTGCCCCTCCTGAGAGAGCAGCCCCTTTCTCCCCCAAGACTCACTGACCCGCTGTCTTATGGGGCCTGCTCAGAACCATCAGTCATTTGGGGAGACAAGCAGGGTAGATGACCTGCTCTCCTGAATATTATTTTGAGGCGCTAAGGAGAAGGCAGGTGAGGAGAGGAACCTCTTCTTGCCACCTTCTTCTCCTTCCCAATTCCATCATTCCCCGAGGACAGGAGCCATCCTCTTCTCACCTCCTTTTGCCCTGTTTATCAAAGGTTCTCTACAATTAATTTCTTAGGCCTATTTAAGATACATATTTATATAGTTCTTAACGGTTTTTCTCTGATCATTCCCTCTCATTTTTAGAATCCCCAGGCCTCTCTCTGAGCCAAGAAAGTGGCAGGGGAAACCTGAATTTTATGAGGGGAGAGGGGCAGAGCCCCTTTCTCCAGACCCCCTAGCCCTCCCCACTTCCCCCCAGCCTTGGCTCCCCAGATGCAGAAGTTGAAGGTGGGGAGCCAGGACCACCAATGAGGTCAGGAAGTCTGTTGCCTTAACATCCCCTTCCCCCATCAACATACTCGTCACTCCCAGGTCTGGTTGCTGAAAGACTTGGGGGTAAGGAATAAGGGAAAGGGGATTGTTTGGTTTTGGTTTCTCTCCCCACCCCCTTTTCTCTCATCCTCCCCCCACTCCCCATTTTGTCATGACCTCATTAAGTGGAACACTATATCATAACCCAGAAATACCCAGCCCTGGAGTCATGCAGAGCCTCTGGTCCCTGGGTTGTGCTGGGGCCCAGGTGGAGGGAGGGGATTTGAGGGTTCAGGTTGTGGGGAAGCCAGGGTCCCCTATTCCAGCCCCCTCTCCCCTCAACCCTACCATGCAGACTGGGACATTCTCAAGCTTTTCACACCGAAAGGGAAAAAAATGTTATTTTTAGATACATTTTATGAATAACTTTTGTTATGAATATGGCTGGTAACCATTGTGTATGTTATTAAAGATGTTGGGGAAAAAAAAAAAACCAAAAAAATTTTAAAACCACCGCCCTCCCAGCACTCTCACCCCATTCCCCTATTTTTGCCCCTGCCCTCCAGGTCTGGACCTCCCTCAACTCTGAGCCCAGGGAGAGGGAGAAAGCCTGGGGGAGAGGGGGTGTAGCCCTGGGGACCTGCTCCAGGTTCCTACCTCCTCTCCCAGTGCCGGGCTGGGTGGGGTGTCAGGTTTATTTATGTACCTCTTGCACACTCATCAACCTATGCAAGTCCCCCACCCCGGCCCCTCCATGTTTCTGTGCCTTTGCTCATTCCCCTCAAACTCCCAGGGCTTCCCTAATTCCCCTCCCACTAGCCCAGGGAAGTGGGATGGACAGGGGCCACCTCGTTTGGAATCTGCAGGGTGTCCCTCTTACAGGACCCTCGCCTCCTTCCAGCCAGTCCCATCTTGTTCACTATTCATCAGGGTGAGCTGGCTCTGCCTGGCACTGGGAGGTGGTGAGGGACACCCCTCTCTCCCTACCCCCCGTTCCCCGGTCAACACCGCCCCCAACCTGACCAGAGTGTGCAGGACGCTGGCGGCCTCACTCTGATGGGCAGGACCCTGACCCTCTCCAGCTCCAGCCCCCAGTCTCCCTCCCCACCCCACCAACCCTCACCATAACTTCACCCTTTTATCCCCAGCCCCACTGGCAGAATCAGCTTTGAGTAACTGTACAGTTTTTCTCGCTGTTGGAGATTTATTTGTTGGAGTTTCACTTGTTTAATGGTCTGGGCTTATTTTGGAAAAAAAAAAAAAAAAAAAGTAACAAAAAAAGGATTCTGATCTTTGTTATGCTACATTTCATTGAAAACCTGTGGCCTTTGCTTCTGTGCCATTAAGCTGAGGCCATTGAGTCCCTGGGGTAGGGATGGAGAGGGTGACGGAGTGGGAGGGGGAGATGTAGGCAGAAGGAGACCATAAGGACTGGGAAGGGAAGAAACTGGTTTTATTAACAGCAAAGGTTTGGAGGAGGAAAGGGAAACATTGAAAGGCTCACAAATACACCACAGAAAAGTGCCTTCCTGTGCATAATAATCATGTCTGCGCCAGCCCTGAAAGGATTCAGTCACTGTCACTGTCTGCTTCGCTGGAATCAGAAGCTGGGGCTTCACTGCCATCCTCCTGGGCTGAGTGCTCGCTGCCACTGGGGAAGGGACTGGCGCTGCCGCTGGGGCTGCGGCTGCGGCTGGGACTGGGGCTCCGCTGGTCACCTCCATCGCTGCCACTCTCTGAATCATTGTCGCTGCCACGGGCCCGTCCTCCGTCCTCATCATCAGAGTCTGCGTCCTCTGAATCCGCATCACTGCCGAAGATCTCCTCTTGGTCCCGGGCCGCTCGGGCCTCATCCTCACTGCTCTCCTCGCCGCTACCACTCTTGTCACTTGCTTCATCCCTGTCACCCTCTTCCCGCTCACTCTCACTGCCTGAGCGTTCATCCTCACTGCCTTCTTTCTCACTGCTGCTGTCCTTCTCTTGCTCCTCATCTGTGAGAACAGAAAGAAGTGAGACCCAGTTTCCCGCCCTCCCAGAGTTCCCAGGGATTAGCCCATGCAGCTTTACCTGAGCCCCCAGCTTCTTTCTCTTCCGTCTCCATTTCCTCTTCCTCCTCTTCCTCAGGTTCATGGTTCTCCAGCTGGGCCTTCCGTGCCTCCTGGGAAGCAGCAGGGGGGAAGGGAAAGTATTATATCAGGTTTCTGTGTCCCTTTTACCCACCACCACACTCCCCTTGGGTGCCCTGAGCCAGTGGTAATTGTTACCTGGGCTTCTAATTCCTTCTCATTCATGTCCCGGTGTTTGACCACAAGCAGGGCATTGGTACCCGACTGAACCCCAGCCTTGGCCCTGCGCTTGCTGAGGCGGACCCTGCAGTGGGCAAGTTGGGGAGGGGTGTAGGAGATTCAGTTAACCCCAGTGAGAACTCCAACGTGGTTCTTCAATTCCTCACCAATGCATAGCCCAGAACGGATGAGAATAAATACAGATTTCATAAGGGAGATGAAACTCTAGTTTGGGGCAGGTGAGGGGCAATTTGGTTGCTCTGCATTTCATAAAGTGTGTGTATAAATTTTAATGTGAATTAGTTACCAACGCTTAAAAACAGACCCTGAATGTCTGACTTAGGGAAAATATGAATCTATAGCTCCACCGGGTCTTTTAGCTTCCTACAACTTATCAGCAATGGGTTTGAATCTTTTGTTGAGCTGGGTTGTGGTGCCCCTTGGAGAATGCCAACAGTTCTAGGTCACCCAGATCCCACCAGCCCATTGTGCCTTCTTTCAAATTTCCTGCTTGGCTTACAGGATCAGAATTTGTAATCTCTACTTAAAATTCAAGGTCACACTTTTTTCCAACCCTTATACCAAAGGCCTCAGCCAAAAATAAACTTTTAGCCATCGGAGAAGAGTTTTTGGGGTCACATTTTTTAACTTGGGTATCTAGGATCTCATTTTAAATATGCTAATTTTATGTATAATCCAATACTTTAGCCATGTTTACTTCCACATGAAATCTCTTAATATCGGGAAATTTGGCTGTCTACCCTACACAAAAGGTCTAAAGAGCTCCAGTGTTTATGTAACAACTTTCTCTGTGGGTTACTGTGTTAGAAGCAGAGCTAGCCCACATGCATGAGCAGGCTTCTGTGACAAATCTTTAGGTACAAATGTCCTCCAGGGTGGCATATCCTAGGATCTTGACCCTGAAGCACAGGCCCATGCTAATCTGAGGTAGAAATATATGCCGAGTACCTGGTCTCCAACTCATTGTAGTACACTCCATCACCCTCTCGGAAGATGAAGAAGTAGTTTTCCTCATAACCCTTGCTAGCTTTGTTCTTCACATTCCAGTTATATTCCCGAGCAATCTTGTAGTCATATCTGAGGATGAGGGGGACAGGGTTAGTCCCATTTGTTCCCTATGAGGGAGGAAGGGATACACACTTGGTCCACAACCCACGCACACATCATCCGGTGCATAATCCATCTCCTCCTCCTGGTCCCGCTTTCGTTTCTTCAATGTCTCTTCCACAGGCAGGAAGTAGGCCACAAACTGGTTCCCTTCCTCATCCATCATGCCCCTGATTGGGGAAGAGGAAAAGCAGTGATAAATGAGAACAAAGGGCAATGAGAAATAGGCCAAGGTTGGCAGCAGTGCCACTTACCTGATCATGGCTTGAGACATCATCTCCAATGCAGCTGCACCACTCGTGTCCTTGGGGGCTGGGTCAGAGTCAAAGATTACCTGAGCGCATGGATTAATCCACATCTGTGGACAGAGGTCACTGGAGTTAGAAGTGAGACATGCAGAGATGACACAACTCTGCCTCCTGTGTACCAAATCTGACCTTAAAGTCTGGGAAGACGGGCATGACCTCCACCGGTGTCACTCGGGGCTTGCTGTAATGCTGGGAGATCTGGTAGGGACACAAACAGGGTGAGGAGGAGGAGGATGATGAAGAGCTTTGAAGCCACCTCTTTTTCTGCCTCCCCATCTTAGTCCTTCAGTTACCGACTTCTGGGCATCCTCAAAAGTCTTCTCAATGGCTGTTATCTGGCTATCCCTATCTTTGTAAATTTCTTCCTCAGTGAACTGCTGTTTTACAGAAACCCCAATCCTAAGGGTGAAGAGAAAGAAAGGCTTTTAGGGACCACTGGACACACCTGAAATTTCCAAGTTTCCTCCCTACCTGCCACAACTTACTTGACCTCAGGCTTCTCGTTGGAGACGCCATAACGGTTGAACTCGGTGGAGATATACTCTGTCTTCCGCATCCATGGCACCACCTTTGCATGCTGCTGAGACCTAAAGTGGAGGATCAGGCACTTAAGGACCTCACCACCCTCCTTCCATTGGAGCCAGTGCCCAGTCCCCACTCAGCATCCTATCCCCTTACCTCTTGGAGCTAGTGGGGGCCTGAATCTCCTCTTCCAGAAGCTTCTCATCAGCTGGATCTAAGAGTACTAGAGGAGAGCAAGGGAGTAAGAAACGATGATAGAGGTCCAGGCCTGGCCTTTGCTAGCCTAAAGGAGGCCCTCCCTGCCTCCCTACATACCATTGGGGTCAATGCGGTAGGTGTCAGGGTTGATGAGATCGATGGTGACCCCCAGGTCTGGCTCAGTCAGGAGGTCATGTTTGTGCTGTTTTTCCAAGGAAGTTGCTTTGTACTGAACGAACCTAGATAGGGAAACATGCCCATTATGGTTTCCTGACTCAGCTTTACCCCTCAAATCCCTGTTTCACAGGGGCTAAATTTCTACAGGGAGGAACTCAGTGGAATGTTCCCCCATGTTCAAGTCCAAATACTGGTTCTCCAATGGGAAGAAACTTGGACACTGCTTGCTCATTAACAAATATTTACCAGGCACCTACTACTATAGTATGTACAAGATACTGTTCTAGGCCCAGAGGAAAGAACAGTCAACGAGAAGCAGTCTTTGCCTGCAAGGAGCTCATACTCTTGAGTTATTTCCCATTCCCAATCTTAAATCTCACCTGTTCTGGTCGAAAGGGTAGGTAATAAACTTGGGGTCGAAGGGGATGTCAGGGAGGCTATTGCAGTACTTGACTCGGCAGACCACTCCAGATCTAGGAATAGAATGGCTCCTTTAAAAAGCTACTATGAAGGCCAAAAGAAAAAGCATCAAACGCAACTCAAACTACAGTAAGTAAAGAGGAGACAACACAAAAAAGACCTAAAACATAACATTAAATAATATAAAATGTGGTATAAAAATGTAATCCTTATAGAATATATTTGAATTTAAATGCCTATTAGCTTTAACTGCTAGTGATTGACATAAACCTCAAAAAGTACAAAAAAAGAGAAAGAACCCAAACAAAATACTAGAGAAAGCCAGCAAACCACAAGAAAGGTAAAAAGAGAGCTATAAAAAAGACCAAAAAAAAAAATGAACAAAATGGCAATAAGTGCATATTTATTAATAATTTAAATGTAAATGGATTAAGTACTCCAATAGATATTATGGCTGAATGGATTAAAAAACATGACCCCAATTTGATGAACAAGAATAGATCCAGAGATAAATGGCAGGGGAGGGGGAGTTAGCAACCAAAGGACTTATATGTATGCATATTAGTGGACATAGACACTGGGGCAGTGGGGGTTGCCCAGGGTGGGAATGGCTCAGGGAAAGGAGTGTCAATGGTTCAATTCCAGTCAGGGCACATGCCTGGGTTGCAGACCAGATCCCCAGTAGGGGGCATGCAGGAGGCAGGCAATCAATGTTCTCTCTCATTGATGTTTCTCTCTCCCTCCCCAAAACCAATAAAAAAAATATTAAAAAAAAAAAAAAATACACTGTCCCAGCTTACGTGGCTCAGTGGTTGAGTGTCCACCTATGAATCTGGAGGTCATGGTTAGATTCCCAATTGGGGCACATGCTCGTGTTGCAGGCTCGATCCCCAGTAGATCAATGATTCTTTCTCATCACTGATGTTTTACCTCTCTCTCTCCCCCTTCCTCTCTGAAATAAAAAATATATCTATAAAAAAATAAAAAGACTTATACTGGTTGAAAGTGAAAGGAAGGAAAAAAATATCCCATATAAATAAAAACAAAAGGAAAGCTGGAGCCCTGGCAAGTAGTTCAATTGGTTAGAGCAGTAATCAGCAAACCACAGCTCGCAAGCCACATGTGGCTCTTTGGCCCCTTGAGTGTTCTAACGCTACTTCTTCAAAATAGACTCACCCAGGCTGAAAACCGACTTCTGCGCATGGGCTACGAAGTTTGTACCCTGTTTCCCCGAAAATAAGACTGTCTTATATTAATGTTTGCTCCCAAAGATGCGCTAGGTCTTATTTTCAGGGGATGTCTTATTTTTCCATGAAGAAGAATACGGTACACATTTATTGTTAAATGAAAATAAAGTTTATTACCTGTATACGGTACGGTAGTACAGTAGTTGTCAACACAAACCAGACAAACTGTGAATCCTACAGTATTAAGAATTTACTCATTTATTCAATGACAATCATGTCATCATCTTCTGGAACATCATCATAACAATCCAATTCCTGAATTTCCTGGTGAATTTCTTGTGACTCCATTTCTTTCAGAATCAGTGGACCAAATCTCTCATGTTTAGCCTAGGGGGGCCTTATTTTGGGGGGATGCCTTATATTTCACTCAGAAGGAAACCTGTAAGTAGGTCTTATTTTTGGGGAAACACAGTATGTGTGCTCCCGCACGTGGTATTTTGTGGAAGAGCCACACTCAAAGGGCCAAAGAGCTGCATGTGGCTTGAGAGCTGCGGTTTGCCGACCACTGGGTTAGAGCATTGTTCTGATATGCCAAAGTTGCAGTCAATCCCCAGTCAGGGCACATCAACCAATGAATGCATAAATAAGTGGAACAATAAATGTTTCTCTCTAAAAATCAGTAAATATGTTTTTTTATTTTTTAAATGTTTTCATTTATTTGTAGATAGAGTGGAAGAGAGAGAAACATCTATGAGAACGAACATTTATCAGTTGCCTCGTGCACATTCCCTACTGAGGATCAGGCCTGCAACCTAGTCATGTGCCCTGAACTGGGAATCAAACCTGGGACCTCTAGGTCTATGGGTCGATGCTTAATCCACTGAACCACATCAGAGAGACTATAATTTTCAATAAAAATTAAATAAACTGTAGCCGTGAGATTGGTGGGCCAGGTACTGCAGCCATGGACCGAAGAGAGAAACTACCTTCAGCCTGGGCTGCCAAGTCACCACTGCAGGGTCGAAAGCTATGGACAAGGACATCCTGGGTGAAGCAGAGCTACACTTGGATGAACTGAACAAGCTGCAGATGTTGGGCCCAGAGGTTACTCAGACCATAGAGCTCAAGGAAGAGTATAAGGGCTTTATGGACAAAATTGGCCAATTTCAGAAAATAGTTGGTTTACTTAAGCTTGTTGACCAACTTACAAAAGAAGCAGAAAATGAGAAGATGAAGGCTTTTGGTGCTCAGAATTTGAAGCCCAATAGCAATAACTCCAAGCACTAATAACAGAAAAGAATGCAGCCTGAAAGATATCGAATTGAATATGAAGCTTTATGTAAAGTAGAAGCAGAACAAAATGAATTTATTGGCCAATTTATTTTTCAGAAATGAACTGAAAATTTCACATAGCAAGAGGGCAGAAAAACAAAAAAACCTCTGTACCATTCCATTGACTTTGACTAAGGACCCACATGTAGCATGTGAGATGGTGTGAGTGATGCATCATCTCTGAAGGCAGTAAAATAAATCTAGGGAGGCCTTGTTTCTAATGCCAGTGCATATCTGGTACACACCCCATGACCATGGTAGCCCAGGTTCTCACCTCTTGCATTCTTAGTCTGAAATAAGCAGTCTGTAAACTTTGATTTTTTGTTTGTGTAAATTCACAAAGCTTTGGAGGAAAAAGCAATAAATTATTGTTTTCAAATGGCAAGAAAATAGACTTTAAAACAAAAAATGTAAAGACAATCAGGGACATTACATAATTATAGACGGTAAACCCAAGAAGAGAATAAAGCAATTATAAATATCTACATACCCAACATAGGAGCACCTAAACATATAAAGCAAATATTAATGGACATAAAGGGAGAAATCCACGGTAATAAAATATAGTAGGTAACTTTAATACTCCATTCACATCAATGGGTAAGTTCATCAAGACACAAAATTAATAGGGAAATAATGGCCTTAAATGTCACATGGACTTAATGGACATTTATAGAATGTTTCATCCCAAAAGCTGCAGAATGCACATTTTCAAAATGCACATGGCAGCTGAAACCAGTTTAGCTCAGGGGATAGAGCCTAGGCCTGCGGACTGAAGGGTCTAGGTTTGATTCCGGTCAAGGGCATGTACCTTGGTTGTGGGCATATTCCCAGTAGGGGGTGTGCAAGAGGCAGCTAATTGATGTTTCTAACTCTCTATCCCTCTCTCTACCTCTCTGTAAAAACTCAATAAAATATATTTTTAAAATAAAATGCACATGGCACACCCTCCAGACTAAGACCACAAAACAAGCCTTAAATTCAAAAAGATTGAAATCATTATCAAGCATCTTTTTTAACCTCAATATCAAAGTAGTAATCAACTACAGGAAGAGAACTGGAAAAAACAAATACATAGAGACTAAACAGCATGCTATTAAATGAATGGATAAAAAAGGAAATCAAGAACTATCTTGAAAGAAAACAACTTTTCAAGATTTACTGAATGCAGTAAAAGCAGTTCTAAGAAGAAAGTTCATAGTTATACAGGCCTACCTCAAAAAAAATGAGAAAAATCCCAATAGCCCTGGCCAGTTTGGCTCACTTGGTTAGATGTCATCCTGGGCACCAAAGGGTTGTTGGTTCAATTCCCAGTCAGGGCACATGTCCTGGCAGCAGGCATATAGGAAGCAGCCAATTGATGTTTTGCTCTCACATTTATGTTTCTCTAAAAATAATTTTTTTTTCATTCCTCCAGATTAGTCCCAACTTCTTTCAAAACACAATACAACAGTAAAACCTAGCCCTTCTTAAAAGGTTGAGATCAAACTTATTTGACAGAGTTACATTGCCTATGCTCAGACTTGAAACTTTTCACTGAATAAAATTTTGAAATATTTATAAGGTTACAACTATCTTTGAAATTAATCAGTAAACAAAGCAACAGTTTTTTTTTTTCCATTCACATTCACACTAATTACTATTCTAAATAAGATATTCATAATTTCAGTTTCAATCTAAACATTAAATTTGTAGTAACAGGATGTGGGTTCTGGTACAATTTCCTAATTCACTGTATGGCCCTAGACAAGTGATCTTGGATCTCTGCCTTCACCTGCATCTCACAGGGACAGTGCCTTTTTAAACCTACTTTATAGGCAACTAGGCATAGAATTCATATGAAAATATTTTGCTAAAGTTGCTAAATATATTTGATAAAATATCATGTTTTCTAATATTTGATTTGCTTTTTATAATTTAAACAAAATAAAGATTGCATACTTTCGGACTATAAAATTCAGTAGTTATACAAGGTGAATTAAAGTAGTAAAGCAGGTCATAAGAGTAAACCCATTCATCCATGCTCTCATTAAGAAATAATAATTATAAAAATGGATAAAATTTTGTGAAAATATTCCCATTTATTCTATTTTAGGAGGTCCTGCCCATATCAATGGATTGTCTGGCATCAGACATGGCATCTGGTACTTGCACAGTCATTTTGTCCACAGACTTTGTCAAAAAGATTTGGCAGCCCAACCGGGATCTATCTGTTAGCCCGTACGCCAGATCAAGCAAGTCATTCTCCTCATCAGTGATTGCTTCTAATTTCTCGTATATGTGCTTTCCAAAGATGAGGTGGCTGGTGGAGCAAGCCAAGGCTCCCTCACATGCACCAAAACCGTCAATATCTAGATTATTTTCAATCACAACATCTAGCAGAGAGTCACCAATTTTTCCTTTGGTTGTTAAATATTTCATCGTCACGGTTTAAAAAGTGGACTGTTATTTTATCTTCTGAGCTGCAACGCGCCGGGGCCAACAGGCTCAGTGGCCGCCTCGCAGCGCCGCCGCTCGCCCAGCTCCCAGGGAGG